ACCAGCCCCAGGTTTTGTTTCTGAGACAGGGTCTCAGTGTGGCTGTGCTCCTACCTCAGCCTCTGGAGTGGAGGGATTACAGGCCTGCACAGCTACACTGGGTCTCTCTTAGGTTTTGTAAGTGTGTCCTCGGTGGTGGGCACGCTGTTGTAGGCAGCTGAATTAGGAACATTAAAGGCAGTCAGACAGGGCGAGGCCCTGAAGGAGACAGCACGGAAGACAGGACACTATGCAAGTGTAAGAGCCTGCCCCTCCTGCTGTGGGCCAGACCGAGAGACCAAAGATCGAGCTGACCTCCTTAACGATCAGCATCCGGGCTTGGTCATCACCTCGGGGAGCCGCGAAGAGTCACTAATCTGCTACCGGCTAAACTCCTGTTTTATAGTCACGCCTGCTTGCCATGTGGCTCGCGTCACCATTTGGTCCTGGATTTAATTTTACCTGCGCGTCGGTGCTTGTAATCTTATTGGCTGACCATAATTTTGTCCCACCTCATGCCCACCTAAGCGAGTTCCCATGTTCTCCACCTGAGACATGTCTCACTATGTGGTTTAACCCTGGAAAAGACAGCATCCTGCGTAACCTGCGCAGGTCCCCCTTCTGTCCCTCCCGTGGACAGAAGCTTTCTTTCCCCCAATAAATATTCTGCTCTTAACCTCTGTTTGTTTCTGAGGTCCTTTTTTTTTTTTTTTTTTTTTTGCTGGAACCGGGGATTGAAGGCAGGCCCTTGCGCTTGCCAGGGAAGCGCTTATTCCACCGAGCCAGCTCCCCCGCCCCAACCTCTGTTTGTTCGTAAAACTCATTCGTAAAACTCATTCTGCGGTTTTAGAGAACGCGAACTCGTGGCGGCACCCTCCAGGCCGGGCGTTCCGTTCCCTGCAGCAACACCGGCAGCCTCCAGCCCCGGGCCGACGGATCCCACGCGGCCGCCGCCTCCTCCGGCCCACCGCAGCCCTGGAGCCCTTCTGCAGCCAGCCCCTCGCGAGTCCCCGGCGCGCCCCAGCTCCGCTCCGGCGAGGTCCCCAGACCGCAGGCTGCTGTCCCAGGGGGCGGCCCGGGCTGCCCGCCCCGCCCGCGGAGCCCCCGAGTCCCGCCTCTGCCGCGCCGGCCCCAAGCGCACCCGGCGCGGGGCTTTAGGAAAGGCGTCTCAGGACGGGTCTCTGCCACGCCTGCACGCCCAGCGCGCCCGGGTCCTGCACAGGTTAGAACGCAGGGGAAGAACTGCCCATCCAGGCCCGCCACTCGACGGTCGCGTACGAATCTTTTCCAGCGAATGAGGCCCAGAGGATCCATTCGATCGCGTCCCGGAGGAAACCAAGCGGCCAGCAGGGGCCGCCCCACAGCCCGCCCTCACACCCGGCGCCTGCGGGAGCCGACTGGCAGGCCGAGCCGGAAGCGGGCCGGACCCGCCGGAAGTGACGCACAATCGGCGCGCCGGCGGCGTCCCTCGAGCGCGCGGTTTCCTCAGGTCCGCCGCGTCCCTGTGTTCTCTGGGAGCAGGCTGTCCCGGGCGCAATGGGCAAGAAGGGTAAGGAGAAGAAGAAGGGCCGCGGTGCGGAGAAGACGGCCGCCAAGATGGAGAAGAAAATGACCAAGCGCTCCCGGAAGGAGGAGGTGAGCGGGACCTGGGGTGCGGCGGCCGGGCGGCCTCGTCTCCCCTCGCGCGGGCGCGCTCGCCTCGGCCCGCTCCCGCGCGGGCCTTCCGCTGGCCTGGATCCCGGGCGCTCCGAGACAGGCGGCGGGATGAGGGAGACGGGCGGACCTGGGGGCTGCCGGCTCCTCGGCGAGGCGTGCGGCTGGGGAGCGCCCCGAACCCTCCCGAGCCCCTCCAAAGAGAGCGGAGAAGCCTCGCGGCCTCCCCGGGGCGCGGGCGCCGAGGGAGGCTGACCCGGGGCCGCGCTGACCTGTGCTGGGGCCCGCCGGCGCGCGTGCCTTTCCTGCTCGCCCTGCCTCGCTCCCGCCCTGCGGTGTCCGTGCCGGCCTGGGGTTGGGTGTGGTGGGTGCTTCCTGTGGCTGCTGCTCACGGCCGCCTCAGCGGAGGCCGTCGCGCCAGCCAGCGTTTACTGTTTGCGTTTTGCTGGTCACCACGCGTTCTGGCCTTTTGTGCACACAACAGTGGGGTTAGGTCGAGGTGCCATTCCCCTTACACGGAGAGGAAGGCGGAGGCTGACAGGTTACGCAGTTCAGAGTCACACAGCCATGATGTTGTGTACAGTTGGGTCTGACCAGATGTCCTGAACCTTCACTCTCTTGGCCACATTCCTTTGCCCACTTTTTTCCTAAGTCACTCATTTGTCCCCTTCCTTATCTGTCAAATAATGGGGTTGGACTTTTTTTTTTTTTTTTTGAAGTGTTTGAACTTACAATAGGCTTTAAGTTTTTAAGGTCCTAGACCAACTAAGGGCACAGACTGCAGCTAGGGACTCTGAGATTGAACCTGCCTACTCGCTAAGCAGTTGAGGCAGTGACCTCAGAGGAGCAGGTCCTGCTGCATGGCTGGAAGTGCAGGAAGTCAGGTCAGCTGTGTAGGGGCCTTAGAACAGTGTCTGGCATTCAGCAGCTAAATATGATCTGTCCTTTTTCCTTATCTTCACAACTTGCAGTAGGGTCTGGTTCTTAGGATTTGAACAGTGGCTTCCTCAAAGGCAGAGTGTTTGGCCTGGGATGTTTGCACATTATTGGTTCATTCTCAAAACAAACCTTTACGTTCACTAGTGTTCTGATTCAGGATACTCTCTTTTTCTCATTGTTTTGAGACTGTGTCCACTGTGTAGCCCAGGCTGGCCTTGAACTTGAGGCGATCCTCCTGCTTCAGCCTCCCAAGTTCTGGGATCCCTGACGTGCACCACCAGGACTAGCTTCTCTTTTCCAGCTGTGTCACATAACATAGCCTAATCATTGGAGTGGTAGTGGAGCGTTTCAGAACTCTGGGGGATTATTGGGGAACACAAGGGATCGTTTCTCTTTTTTTCTTTTTTTTTGAGACTGGATTTTACTATGTAGTGCAGGCTGGCTTCACCTCATTTTGTAGCCCAGGTTAGCCTCAAATTCATATCTTTTTCCTCATCCTCCCATGTGCTTGGATTACAGCCAGGCACCATGCCTGAAGGGAAGCACAAGGAATTTTTTTTTTTTTTTAAACTGGGAATCAAACTCAGGACCTTGTGCTTGCCAGGCAGGTACTGTGCCGCTGAACTATGTCCTTGGCCCCGCACAAAGAATCTTGCCAGCTGGGACTCTTGGTACCACAGAATTACTTGGTTCACAGCTTCTCTCTGTCCAGTCCTCTGGCTGAGTCCAATTCACTGCTCCAGCTACCCACATTTATCATGATTGTCTCAGATGTCCCAGATTTTTCTTCATATGGTCTTTGTTTTTGCCCCAGTCACACTCCTTATGACTGGTTTCTTTGTATCTTTCAGCTTATTGTCACCTCATAGAGGCTGCTGCCCACTAGGCTACTTGTGCCATGCAGGCCCTGTGGTTCTGTTTTTCCCTCCTGGTGACAGGCTTCCCCAAGGTCAAGATGTCTGACTTAGGGTAGTGGAGCAAAGTGTTCTGGTGCACAGGCCTTGTAGTCTGGTGAGATTCCTTCAGTGTGGGAGACACGGCGGAGGGGGACTGCTGGTTTACCTGGCGGGGTGTGGAAGAGGTGGGAGTTCCGGGTGCTGAGCCTGTCCTAGTGAGTGATGGCTGGCGCTGCCCTACCCCTGCTTTCACCATCTGTGTGGGAGGTGCCAGCTGAGCTGCCCCCAATGGTAGACACGTGGGACTGCTTGTCCTTGTGCCAGGGGGTTAACTGCAGGCTGGTCATCAGCTGTGAGCTGGCACCAGCACCATTGCCCCCTTCCCTCTGTCCTCGTGTTGGCCCACTCTGTCCTTGCTCCTCTTCTTGCAGCAGCCCCTCTTCCAGGTCCTTCTGCGAAGGTCTGATTCTTCAGTAACAGGCCTGAGTGTGCCATGTGGTGTGCTGTTAGGATGGGTGGCCCACAGGATGGCCATCAGGTCCACCACATGCAGGAGCAGGATGATGGGCACCTCTGTGTGCTTCCTGAGCTTCTTGGGGTGCCAGGGTGTCTGTTCCTGGGAAAGTGGGTGCTGCAGTGCAGCAGTCGAATCTACATATTCAGCAAGACCACCTGCTTAAGGAGGCAGACACAGAGCAGCAGCCATAGTCAGGTTCAGTGTGTTTTAGACTCAGCAGAGCATATTAGGATTACACATATGGCCGGAGCTCATTCTGGTCAGGGTCACACAGGAGGAAAGCTGACCAGGCTTTTCCCTATGTGATGGGTTTAAAGAAGTCTCACCTAGGGCTTCTTGTGTGTTCCTAGGATGACCTGGAAGCCCTCATTGCCCATTTCCAGACACTGGATGCCAGAAAGACAAAGATCACAGAGACGCCCTGCTCCCCACCGTCTGCACGGTAAGCAGGCTGCCTTCTAAGCAGGCACTCCTTTGCCTCGTGATTGTGACTGTTTCCTGTCCTTTTAAAATTGGAAAGCAGCGCTCTGTCAGCACCGTGTTTTCCTGATTGGCCCAGCTCTTGGAACATTTTCATCACTGACACCTGCTGCATGGCCCCTCGCCTAGAACAGCTGGGCTAAGGCCGGCAGCTCCGCTTTTCTTCAGTGGTTTCCCAGCAGGCTGTTCTCCTGGGAATCTGCCTGGGTGTGAATGCTTTGACCGGCAGCAGCTTGTGGATAAGAATGTGCCCCGACAAGCTTTGCTTTGCTTCTAGGGGATTTTATTTTTTAAAATGTATTTTGTACAGGGTCTCACTACACAGCTTGGACTCATAGTGATCCTCCTGTTTTCAGCCTCTCCAGTGCTGGGATTACAGGCATGTGCCACCAAGCTGGGACTCGGTCGGTGGCTCAGCACGCCTGGGGACACAGCCAGCATGGCATGTGGGACCAGGACTGGGGATTGAACCCTGGTCCCTGTGCTTGCCTAAGCAGGCGCTTAGTTTGCTGAGCTAAGTGCACATCCCAGGTGGAAAACTAAGTAGTCCCTGTATGTCATGGCTGGGTGCCTGGAGTGGAACCTTTGCAAGCGAGATCGACAGGGAGAAGAAAGCACATGAGGCAGTCATCAGTTCAGTCCGCATCAAGGAAGAGCAGTGGTGTCTTGTTTTGTTTCTTGCTCATGTATGCCATTAGCATCTATTTACATTCTTCTGTGCTGGACTAAACAGTGCATGCATGGTTTGCTACAGTTAAGTCAAGGTTACATAAACATATCCCCATCTGTGCTTGTGCCACACAGCGGGTTCATGTCCTTTACAGTCCTCAGATGTTCCAGGACCTGAGGAAAGCCACAGCATCCCCCACACCATTGGATTGTTTTGTGTTTACTCTTTTCTTTTTTTTGTGGCGGAACCGGGGATTGAACTCAGGCCCTTGTGCTTGCCTGGGAAGCACTTATTCCACTGAGCCATCTCCCTGGCCCCTGTGTTTACTCTTAATGCTTCTAAATTCTCAGGTGAAAGGTCTATTAAACATAAATTTTTCTGTGCCATGTGTGTGTCACACACCTGTAATCCCAGTGCTTTGAGATGTTAAGGCAGCAAGATCAAAGTTTGAGCCCTGACTGCGCAATTTAGCAAGACCCTGTTTCGAAATGCAAAATAAACAAGCTGAGAATGTGGCTCATATGAAGAGCCTGGGTTTAATCCCCAGTATGTACATTACATAGATAAATCACTTTTTGTGAGCCATGTTTTTCTTTTTTTATAGGTTTTTTCCTTTTTTCTATCTTTTATTTATTTGTTTGGTACAGGGTCTTGCTATGCAGCTTAGACTCATAGTGATCGTCCTGTCTCAGCCTCCCAGTGCTAGAGTTGCAGGTGTGTACCACTATGCCTGGATTTGGTGTCCGGCACAGCATGTGGTACTGGGGATCAAACTCAGGTCCTTGCGCTTGCCAGGCAGGTGCCTAGACCATCAAGCTATCTCCCCAGCCCTGTGTGAGCCACTTTAAATGAATGTATCACTTATGAAAAATAGCCCAAGTTCTTGTAGGATTTCAAACACCCATGGGGCACAGGAAAGGAATAGGACTTTTCTCCCAGCTTCTGAGTTATAATTTTTATCTCATTTGATGTATTAGGTACAGGGTCTCTTTCTACAGCTCAGACTCGTTAGTGATCCTCCTATTTTCAGCCTCCCTAGTGCTGGGATTACAGGCATGCGCCACTACTCCTGGACTCTTAATTTTTACCTAATTTGGTCTTGCAGCTCTTCTGTTTGCTCTTTGCTCATAGACCAGAGTCACACTGAATATCTCATACCTGGAACTGGGAAAGATCCAGTGCCCTCATAAGCAGATACGGTGTCACTCAGGGCAGGGCAAAATGTAAGCCACACAGACATCTGGGCCTGTTTTGTGTAGTTATGGAATTGTACTGTGTTTACTTCAGAATAAAGTTAGACTTCTAGGTGGCATTTCTTAGTGCCACCATCACAACCTGTAGCACAGCCCTTCAGGGAGGCCTCGTCATTTCGCTGCCTTCACATCAGTTTGGTGCAGGTGACAGTGCCAGAGTCCCTATGACCTGTCATAGGTGGGCTTTAGTTGTCACATGTGCCCAGGTGCAAGAGTCATGGAGTGATGAGTCCCGGAGCAGAATGTGTGGTGTTGCAGCATTCCAGGGTGGAAGGCCTTCCTCCTCTCTCTTTGATAAATTCTACCTACTAGAAATTGGCTTTCATTGTTCCCAGTAGTTGGCCTGTTATTTTGGGGTGAAACATGATTTGCAAACAGCAGTTGGATATTTGTATTTGAGTTGTTGAAGCAAATCTGAGGTCCTTTTTTTTTTTTTTTTATTTTTATTTTAATGTTCTTGGTTTTTTTTTTAAGTGTATTTTATTTATTTATTTTACATTTATTTATTGTGTGTGTGGCCAGCTCAGCCCACCAGGGGGCAGGGCTGGCTGGCATGTGGTGCTGGGAGATTAGAACCGCGGTCCCTGCTTTGCCAAGCTTGTTCCAAGTAGGTGCTTTAGACCACTGAGCCATCTTTCCAGTCCCATAATCTGAGGTCCTTAAGGCCTCATGTTTATACCAGCACTCGAAAGGAAAGCCACTGAATGTGGAGTATTGTTGTTGTTTTTTTTTTGATGATATGTAGAACTTTTTCCAAAGTAATGTTTCCCCAAAAGTTTGGTGTAATGTCAAGCTATGGTTGAATATGTTGGTGGCTCCCAGGTCAGGATAGCATATTTGCTGTCTTCAGATAGCCATTATTGAAGAAAGATGGACTAAGACCTTCCTGGGTCACCTTAGTCACTTTTGACTTCCTTGCTCTGGCTGTGTTGTGTAAAAACCTTTGAATTACAAGTTTTGGTGCAGGTGTGGTCTGAGGGCATGTGGAGATTGGGCACCTGGTGTGGCCTGTGCTCTCATTGCCTGCAGCTTCGTTGATGCCTGGGGAGGGTGCGGCCCCTGCTGGGCCTGCTCCAGATTCTTCTGTTGTGATGTTGGGTACTTTTCTTCAGAATATTAACGAATGAGTCAGTGAAGAAAATTGCGGTATCAGAGGAGCTTGGGGACCACTGTATAAAAAAACCATTGTGGTTACATGTGTAAGACTTGAAATTTGTCTTTTACACCATTTTTTACCTACCCTCAGTGGGTTACTTGTACAGTGCTGTAAGCACTGTCTAGTTCCAAAACTTTGTTTTCGGGCAGACAGCAACCCTGTGCTGTGAGTCACTGCTCGCTCCCCTCCCTCCTTGCATCCAGTCTGCTTTCTCCTGCTGTGGATTTGCCTGTTCATTGGTTCCACAAAAGTGGGGCCACGCAGTGTGGGTGTGTTTGGACTAGCGACTTATGCTCAGTCTGTTTCCCAGGTCAGCCGCCTTTCATCAGGGATCAGAGCTGCCTTCCTTCTTGGGGCTGAACAAATTGGTCCATGTTGTGCATCCACCCCCTTTGGCGCTTGGACGGTCTGCCTTTGGCTGCTGTGAACCCCGCTGCCGTGAGCATTGCAGATGGATATCTTTTTGCGTCTGGACGTAGCAGTACAGCCACTGACTCGCAGTCATTTTGGTCATTGAGTGGTCTCAGCACCTGCCAAGCTATTTGCTGTGTCAGCTACACTGTTTCCTATTGGATTTTACTGCCATATCTCTCAGCCCATAGAATGTTTCTGTTCACAGCTAGATATAGTGTCGCACACCTGTGATACCAGAACTTGAGAGGATGAGGCAGGTAGATTGCTGTGAGTTGTATTGCCCAAGAGAAATCCCCAAGAGAAAATAGAGGCTTTAGATTTCCCAGTGTACTTGGTCTTTTTTTAAATTTTTTTTTTTTTGTATTTTAGGGAAGGGTCTGTAGGTTGTTCAGGGTGTCACTACTAGAGTGGACTTGAAGTGATTCTCCTGTTTACAGCTTCCCAAGTGCTGGGATTATAAACATGCGCCACCACACCCAGTCTCAATCGCCCTGTCAGTGCGCCCTGGGGTTGGGGCCCACACTGCAGGCCTGGGAATTGAACCCCCAGTCCCTGCACCTGCTTGCAGGTGCTTTAATCAGATTACTTGGTCTTGAAACTTGTTTATTTTCTGGGATGCTGTCTGATGATGAGAGGTGTGGATACACTATGGATACCCCTGCCAAGGATTCTGATTGCAGGGCACTTTCCAGTGATGGCCTCTGGTAATGTCTTCATCTTTCCCAACTTTCTGCTGAAATAGTCAAAATATATGTTTTGACTTTCATCCTAGCGTATAAAATAAGCGTGAAGTTAATTACTTTTTCTAGATGGGGCATCTGGTACATTGTTGAAATGCTTCCCAGACCAGACCTCAGAGGACAGTTTTGGTCTGAAATCCTTCCCAGACCAGACCTCGGAGGACAGTTTTGGTCTGATGTGTGTGACCAGACCCCAAAAATAGGGCAGGTGTGGAGATGTGGCACGGAAGTCAGGTCTAGGCTTCTTTCTGCATGTGATGTCGTCAACTGTTCTGAATGACACAGCCCAGACACAGGTTCTCTGTGGATTGACAAGCTGGTGTTGGTCTGGTGGTCAGCAGGTTGGGTCCATGGTGGTGCTGTGCTTCCGTCCTGAGGCCCAGGACCTCTCTCACAGGGCTAGGAGAGGTGGGGCACTCATGAAAGATGCGCACCTGGCAGATGGAGGGCACCTGGCTCTCAGCCTGGCAGCTCAGGGTGGGACTATGCTCATGTGCTGTTTATGTCTTTCACAGGTTGAATGCCTCCCTGTCTGCACATCCTGAGAAAGATGAGTTAATCCTTTTCGGAGGTGAATATTTCAATGGCCAAAAAGTAAAGTATATATATTTTTTTCTTTTCCTCCCAACTTGCCAGGTTGGATTTGCAGAAATCCAAATCATTGGTCCATTTGCTCCCCTCTTGAGTACCCCACCTTCTGAGTGTCAGGCCTGATGTATGGCATTCCTGAGTATCATCAGAACCCCTTGAGGGCCTAGTGACAGCTTGCCTTGGATCTACAAGGTCCTTGTCCCTTGGGACTCAGCTATCCCCAAAGTCACCCCTGATCATGCCTATTGGAAGTAGACCTGTGTCCTGGTTCTGCTCATGGTGACTGTTCACAGGTAGAGTTTTCAGAGACATCTCATGACATCTTGGAGTGCTGGGCATGGGTCCCAGGGCCTTCCAGATACTAGGCAAGTGCTCACCCCCTGAGTCATGCTTTGAGTTCTCATGGTTATTTTAGAAACAGAAACTGCTGAGGAATTGTGGGGCTAAGGTTTTCTTCAGCAGGCTGAAATCCCTATTTCAAAAGGTGAAAAATTTATGCAATCTGAAGAGAAACCCAGAGTATGGAAAGCCCTGCTTCAGATCTGTGTATGAAGCAGTTAAAAGATGTGATCTCAAATCCTCGAGCCTTGAGGCGTTCTGTGAGCCTGACTTGACTTCCCCAGTGTCCGCTCAGCATTTCCATGCATTTTAAGACCCTGGGCTGGAAGCAGAGTGAGACAGCTGACTGAGCAGCTGGGCTCTCAGGTATTAGAGGCCAGTAGGTGCAAGGGTATGAGCCCCTTTCATTGTGTTGTGGTTCCTGGCTTAATGATGTTTCTCCTTACAAATCCTTGACCTTGGGGCTGTGGGAAGGGATCCCTACCCAGCCATTCTGGTTGTACCTTTGGAGCAGTGTTTGGTACATGATGTGAAAGATTCCACTTTATTTTAAGATACGCTATGTGCTGGTTGATTTTGCTCAGCTGTAGGCTAATGTCATTGTTTTAAGGTTGGCTTGGCTAAGTTATGAGGGTGTAAATGCATTTTCAGCTTACAGGGGGTCCGTTGGGGCTTAACCCATAACCCCATGGCACGTGGAAGAGCATCTGTTTAGTCACTCCAGAAGATCTCAGGACCTGCACATGGTCAGCCTGCATTGGTCGGAAGCACATTGCTCTAGGAGACAAGTTTCCCAGAGAATTCCAGAGACTGCCAGCATCCTTGCCATTTCCTGTCACTTGGCCTAGCAGGTCCTTCGTGACACTGAAGTTCCTTTTACTTCTTGCAGACTTTTTTGTATAATGAACTCTACATCTACAATATCAGAAAGGACACCTGGACAAAAGTCGACATCCCCGGCCCTCCGCCGAGGCGCTGTGCTCACCAGGTAATGTTAGTACTGACCCTCAGCTGCCTTCTCCTTCCCGTGTCTGGGTCTGGTGGTCCTTTTAGTCTGTGCATGACAGGCAGTCTCTTGGAAAGAGGCTGGGCCTCCCGGACTGTCCGGGGTCTACTGTCTTCTAATCTAAGCTACTTCTATAGCTGTTGCTTCACCTGCTCCCAGGCACTGTGAAGATAGCGTGTAATGTTCCCTGTGGAAATACCTCGTGTCATGCCTGGCATGTGAGAGCCACTTGGTAGTGTTTTCTTCTCATTTGAGGGAGAGAACTCCACAGTCCCACACTGGACTGGGTGGTGAATGTGAGAAGACGGATGCTCAGAGGAGGGCAACTGGTGGTAGGAAAGTAATTCTTTTAGAATGAGATGAGGCGTAAGGAAGAAGTAGCACAGAATGAGCAGGATGGTCACTGTTTCTGTTGGCTAGGGAAGTGTTTTTGGAGCTGCCCTGGGCCTCACAGGAAATAGCTCCTGGTCTGAGTCCCTAAGCTATGTGACATTGCACTGTGTCCTCGTCCATTGCTCTACCTGTCCTTAGCCTGGCTGGGTGCTCTCATTGCCTTGGAGGGACAGAGGGCATGTGGGTCACACAACCTGTGCTTCCGCTTGTCTGGAGGCTGCAGGGAGCAGCCTTGGATGAGGCAGCAGATGGTGCAATGAGGTGGAAGCAGAGGGTGTGAGTGTGAGGCCCTGCATTCACTTGATGGTTGGTGCCCCCCATGACAGTAAAACTCACATGAAACTGATTTTTTCATAAAGAGTAAAAACGTTTATTTTATTTTATTTATTTATTTTTTTGTTGCTCGAATGCCTTCAGGGCACTTTTGGCCAAAACGTTTATTTTATAACAAAAAAGAAAGAATAAAAAACATTTCAAGGGTGTAAAATGACAGTTGTCTTCTCACTGTGCTTGGCACATTGGTGAACGTGCGTGGGTATGGGGAAGGGTTATTGTGCGCATCAGTGTACTCACCAGGTGTGGTGTCCAGCTGAGCGTGAGCTTGTTAGCTGCAGCTCATTCCCACCTGAGTAGACTCTCTCAGCGTTCTCAGAGTCCATGCTTTGAGGCAGTAGCTGTTGAGCGTCCTGTGTGCCAGGCCCCATTCTGGGTGCAAAGGGCACAGCAGCTGGAGACACTTGTTCTTCCCAACAGGTGTTTTGTGCTTTGTTGGGTCCTCAGGGAGTCACATTTTCCCTCAGGAAAGCCCATGCCAATAGGAGCTACCAGTGTCTGGACCCCACTGGTTAGGAAGAATGTTGTGGACTTAGAGCCTTCTGTCTGTTCATATTCAAACACATGAGCCCAAAACACATGGGAAGCACACAGCCTCTGAGATGGCAGGAGTGGGTGCCTGCGAGGGTGGTCCTGTAGGCCTGTCGGTGCCACACTGGGTACTAAGCACATGGCTGTTTTGCCTCTTTCATCCCAGGAGAGGGGGGTTGTTGGCCAGGTTAGAGCGTTGCTACCCAGTTACTACCTGAATGTGTGCTCCATACACACAAAAAGGTGGTTGGGGTTTTTATTTCCAACCTATTACTTAGATGTAAGTAATATACACATCAGAGCAGTGAGTATAAACCTCAGTAAGCTGGTGGTGCACAGAGGCTGAGCAGACTGGGATGAGGGATGCTGTATCTCACTAAAGGCGAATGAATTGTTTAAATATTTTATTTATTTATTTTTGGTAGAACTGGGGATTGAACTCAGGCCCTTGCACTTGCCAGGGAAGCACTTATTCCACTGAGTCATTTCCCCAGCCTCCAAGGCGAATGAATTGTGTACTTTGATAATAATGTCACTTCTTTGGTGTCCTTTCAATGCTTGCGTAAAAGCATATTTCCATAGAAAGTCCCGGACTCAATGTTTTTTTTTTTTTTTTTTT